AGAGAGACCCCAATTGAGAAGCTCGTTCCTCAGGGCATCGTTACAGCCGACGGTAAATTGCATGAGCTGGACATTCTTGCGCTGGCCACAGGATTTGACTCGCTTACTGGTGGCTTCATGGAAATCGACATCAAAGGCATTGACGGCGAGGCCCTGAAGCAGAAGTGGAGTGGCGAGCAGGGTGCGTTGTCGTACCTTGGCCTGTGTGTCAATCAGTTTCCCAGCAAGTTATACCAGCATTGCATGTGAAAAAACAACCTGCTGACGTCTCCAGACATGTTCTATACCTATGGCCCTCACGCTCCAACCGCATATGGCAACGGGCCATCGATCGTAGAGCCGCAATGCGAGTGGATCCTGAAGACCATGCAGCTCATGGCTAAAGATGGCAAGACCAAGATCAACGCCCAGGCTCAAGCAGAGCAAGAGTGGAAGAAGGTTGTGAATGAGCTCCACGCTGCAACGGTCAGAGATAGTGTAGACTCGTGGTACATGGTATGACCATGCTGTCCCAGATGGTCGTAGACTTTGGCTGACTCGCCTTTCCAGGGCACCAACATTCCTGGCAAGCCGCGTCAGGCGCTAAACTATGCAGGTGGCTTAGCAAACTATATTGATTCCATCAATGGAAGTCAAGAGAAGGGCTTTGAGGGCTTCGACCTTTCGTGAGTTATGAGGTAGGAATAGGAATGCAGCAGGGACAAAGAGGATGGTATCACGCACAGCGCAGTGGATTACTTACGTAATACTGCCTTGCTAGCTGTTCAATATAGCTTCGTTAATTGCCTATGTTCCTCTTGTTCTATAGTCTAAAATACAGTGTGAAAATCCTTCTCCTACTAAGAGGTTACGTACTGTTATGTAACTAAGCTTACGCGTTATACACCCCCTTAGCTTATATAAAAGGGGTGCACCTTCTATTTTAGGCAAGGTAGTATTAGCTAGTAACCGGCCCCACACACCTAGGCTGAGTTTTAAGCCTATATAAGAGGCCTCCTTCTATATTATAGATAGAGCACTAACCTCGTATAGTATATTATTTATATTACACTTCTATAATGCCTATATTATAGGGCTCTAGTTATTAGCCTAAGCAACCGTCTTATTATCCTATTATACTAAACATAGCTGCCTATATTGCTATAGGTTATATTACCCTCGGTAGCCTATACTATTACTACTAGTAGTAGTAGTAGTATTAGTTTCCGTCCTTTATTAGAGCCGAAGGTAGGGCTATCTCTTTATATCTAACAGGTTCGGGTATATTAAAGGTAGTCTCTAGGCACGAATAGCTATAACTAAAGCGAGGGTATAATAAGAGCCTACGATACGGACGATACCGAAGTATCTTAAGGGGCTATTACGACAAGTAGAGAAACCTCTTAACAAAGGCATCGCTTTAACCCCGAAAAGCTACAAACCCTTAGGACTATTATAGCTTAGGGCCTAGTCTATAGCTATAGCTAGCTTCTAAGGACTCGGCTCCGGGTCGAAGACCTATTTAGCACTACTTGCTCGAGATAAGCCCCGCCTAAGGAGGAGATAGACTAATTACCTATCGGCCTTGCTTGGTTTGCTAAGACTATTAATTGATAGCAAATACGGATTATAGGTCGGATAGCCGGGGAGTCCCCTATTAATCGGGTAGGGCGTTCCTAGATTCGTAGCCTCGCTTAGATAGTACTTAGCCTTCTACTAGAAAAAGAAGGCTACTACCCCCCTACCTAGCTAAAGGAGATACGAGCTAGTTTCTAGGATCTAGGAGTAAACAGAGATTGTAGTCTCTCCCTCCGAGCGGCTTTTGTCTAAAATCTACTAAACTAAGCTCCTAGAGGTAGTTAGGCGACCCCTAGGAGGCTAAATCCTAATACTACCCTAGGAGTAATACTAGGAGAAACAGCCTAATATACTACTCTCTCGCATAGCAATATTACAACAAACCAAACAGACTAAAGTTACTAAAAACACATTTATATAGCATTCTATTTCAACTTTATATAGCATTCTATTTTAACTATTTCAACTATTTTACAACAATCGAATAAGCTCTAGCTCTAGCAAAAACGAACATCGAGAATTAGCGGAATCCTCTAAATCCGAAAACGCCCCTAATCCTATTAACGAAGAAATTAGGCGGCGACTAGTTAATATAAGTGAGCCTCCTACGCCCTCTACGCTAGAGGCACTCTATACTGTCCTTATAAAAATAATAAAGAAGCAAACTAAGCTTCTCCGTTAAAACAAGCGTCGCCCGCTAGAGCTAGAGAGTAGGGCAAATCCCCTATTCGAAGGGTAGAACGCTACAGTATATATTAAGCGCTTTAAGGAAGGCTTAGTTAATTACGAGCTCGATAGAGAATCCGACTAGTATAAGATTCGGTCCTTTACGAGGACTACCTCCTCTAAGCTTTACCGAACCCTTAAAACCCTAGTTAGCTACCTAGAAAAGGACGACAAGTCTAATACCAACTAGGAGACCTTTAAGATAGCCTTTATAAGGGAATATCGGGAGCGCGATAGCCGTCGCATTAAAGGCAGTCGTACGTAGCTCGAGTCCCTCTACTTAGTAAGGCGTACTAAGGATAACGACCTAAAGGGGTATATCCGCGAGTTTGTCGAGTTAGCGGATAGCATCGAATAGAGTAACCTCGAAAACTCTTAGAGAATAAGGCTACTCCTCTAGGGGTTGCCGTAGCCTATAGCTTAGCGTATCTTCCGTCGCTATAAGCTTAGCGAGGCCGATCCTAAGAGCTTTAGGAAGTACAAAGAGGTCCTAGTGTATATTAAGGCCGACATTAATAGTATAGCCGATACGAGGAAGTTTATCTACGGCGAAGACCGGAATAACCTAGCGTAGGTTAGGAAAGAAGCCTTAGTAAGCAAGGGACCTAAGTTCCTTCCTAAATCGCAAAGTAGTCCTAAGACTATAACTCCTACTATTACTAAGCACTCTTAGGATGTCGCGGACTTAGCTAAATCCCTAGCCTAGCTAAACCTAAATGCGAAAGCATTATAGCGAGTTAGGGAGGTTATTAATACTACTATACTAGGCGATATACTACTAGTCTACTAGGTTTCAGATCCTAACTACCCTAAAGCCCCTTTAGTAGACGTCTACGCTATACGGAAGATCTATTCTAACTTAGATAGCAAGTGCTAGATATATAGCGGGTTCAAACATATCTAATCGTCCTACCCTATCTAGAAAGAGCTTCTTAAAAGGAAGCTTATTATGCAAGTAAATAGCCGATTCTACTATATAGACACCGGCGACAAGATTGATTTCGAATAGGATCGGAGAGCCCTAAAGCTGCCTTAGCTAAAGACCCTTCTAGAAAAGAAGTACGGTAGTAAGATCGAGTTTAAGGACACTAGGAACAGTACCCTCGCCGCTATTACTAAACGAGAAACTTAGAAGGTTAGGGCAAAATAGGTTAAGGAGCGGAGCAGTAATAGTACTACTAAGCCTATTAAGGTCAACTTTGTTTCTTAGAATCCGGACGCAGTTACTAATATTTACGCGGTTACTAAGAATAGTATAGATGTCTACGCTGCTATACGGTCTCAGACCTAGTCCTAAAACAAGGGTAAGAGCCCTTAGAATCCTATACGCCCTAGTACGGCGGCCCCTACTAGGGTACTAAAGAACAAGGCGGCCGACAAGGCTAAACAATAACGAGAATCAACCGCTAAAACTAAGACTCTCTAGACAGCTACAGACCGCGCTGCCCGATCTAGCACCGCACCTAGTACCGCACCTAGCACCCTACCTATAGAAAGCCTAGTCGTCCTAGAGACTCTAGAGGTCGATATAGAGGATGTTGCTACCGATATTAGTAGTACCCTAGGCCTAGCTAACCTACCTGCCTATAAGCGGAAGTTATCCGACCTAAAGAGCTTTCGCTTTAATAGGTATATAAAGAAGTATAGTACTAGCCTAGCTAACTCTTTAGACACAAAGGCAAACGCTCTCTTCTAGGCTTTATAGTTCCTAGACCTTAAGTCTAATATATCTATAGGAGAGCTGCTAGCGTACGGTTTGCCTACTAATCTGTTCTAGAGCCGAATCCCTAACGATGCTACCTTTATAAAAGACCTCGCTACCCTCCGAAGAAAACAGGGACGAGAAGACTATATTAATATCTCCTCCCTACAGTTCCTTCCTAAATTTTCTTTAGGTGCCTAAGAGTTAGTAGAAGGCGAATCGGTAACCTACGAGAACTAAGAGACTATCGATAATGCTAACGAAGAGGGAGTTAAGGAGATAGGCCGAGGGGATAGTAATAATCCCGACCCTACTCTAGTTTCAGTTTCTATTAAGGCTGTCCGATTTACTAGCTAACAAATCGGTCGAGTAGGACCTCCTCGACCTAAGGAACTTTATTCTATCCCTAATAATATAGACCTTTCCGTAGTTACCCGTTCCTTCGCCGTCGTTCCCGCTATCTACATTTAAGTTACTATCGGGAGCTATAGTTAATAGATGCTAGCAATGCTTAATAATAGTTCGGAGTTACTTATTATAAGTAAGCGTTAGGCTAAACAACTTAGGCTGCCGATAAACAGAGACATTTCCCTCGGTATATAGGGAGTAAATAGGGAGGTTGCGCTAGTAGGTGCTTGCTACAATATTATAGTAGACGCCTTCGGTATATGCTTTTCCTTTACCTTCTAGATTGCCGCCGACCTAAATACGCTAATTATTCTAGGTCGACTATAGTCTCGTATAACCCGAGGTATCTAGCGCAACTGCGACGATAGCTCCTAGGAGGGAACTATTACTAACTAGAAGGGCAACCGAGTCGTATTTACTAGTTATATCGGAAACACTAGCTACAAGTCCTACGAGGACATCCTTGCTACTTCTAGACGGTCTTCGGGAAACGCTACGGCGCGGTTATAAGACCGGCAATCTGCGCTATAAGTTAGTGTAGCTTAAATAGGTTATTTCCGGAAGTGCGCCGCTCCGTACGTTAAGGCAAGTTTCTAGGATCTATACTAAGAAGACGAGTGCTCGAAGCGACAGCGAGTATAACACTACGACTACCTAATGCCTAAGTTAAGGTAATAATGCTATCGCAGGTATTACTACCGGACGCGGGTCTACCCGAACTAACTAATTAGAGCGCGAGTCTAATGCTACCCCGGGGGTGTTATTACGAATCTAACGTTTTCGCCGGCGTTATAAATTAGGACTACTAGCTATATACCTATCGACTTAAGGAGACTTCTAAAGAAGTTTACGCGCTGTTTTGTTGCGCTAATCTCTAAGCCTAACGATAAAGAGAGAGAGCTCGGGTTCGACAATCGATTAGTATCTATACCCTATATAAGAGGGTAGCTAACAAGATTAAGCCCGTAAAAGGCAGCGTGTATATTACCGATAGGTCTAATCCTAGCGGGAATCCTAACTAGCGACAAAAGTGTCTTAATTAGGAAGCAACATTACTACCTAGGAATAGTCCGTACGATTAGAGATATATTACTAAAAAGTTCTCTACTATTCCTAGGGGTTTAAGGCTAATACCGGAGAGGCTTGCGAAGATCAAACCTAGTATAGAGCTTTCGGATCTTAAACTTAACCTACTATATAAGCTTCTATACAATCGCGAAGCCGTATTAGTATATAATTTCACTTACTTAGGTAGAATCAACCCGGAGGTTGCCCC